AGATAGATAGATAGATAGATAGATAGATAGATAGATAGATAGATAGATAGATAGATAGATATACACATACAATATCATACCTCCAATTGGTGGATGCTCCCACTAGCTCTCTCAATTTACTTCGCACTGAAACAAAATAAAACCCAGTCAGAAATATTTAATGGGATAAATCTGACCAAGGTCCATTACAGTACTGCACTTTTGAAAAGCAGACATATAAGCAGAAGTCATGCAAAGAATGGCTAAAAATCAAAAGCTGGCCAGGTTCACTGAGATTCCAATGAATGGTATATTTAATAATGAATGGATGCTTTATCATTTCTGTAACATTTAATTTTCAAAAAAATCCAGTTATCAAGAAAACTTATTTGTTTCTTTTGAATTTAAATTTCAGGCTACCTACTCCTTCATAAACCTGAATGGTATATAGGGGTTAAAAAAGAACAAAACATTATCACTAAAACCATGAAGGATCATGCAAGAATATTTGGATATTGTGGCCTATTCTTGATTGTTGCCCAGCAAGAAAGGTTTGACATTCCAAAATAAATATTCAAATCACGTCACTGTATATACACATCTATACTCATTTATCCTGAAACTGCAAGGAAACTTTAAACAAGGAGCAGGTTTACCTTTACATAGCTAATAGGATACCAATACACATCTAAAAATGCATACCTAGATTCTGTAAATGAATCAAATGCATTTTCTGATACATCTCAATCATAACCATCAGCATTTATGTTTTATCAAAATGTTACACTCTAACAGGAAAGGAACATTAAAATTGAAAACTTAGATTCTAAGGAAATATGGAAGAATCAGAAGGGAATAGCATCTATGGAAATGTGGAGTTAGATGAGAGTTGATATCTTTTTTAAAAATTTATATTACAGTCCTTGACTTAATTCAGTTCAGTTAATGACAGCATGAAGTTACAACAGCATTGAAAAAAGTGACTTATTACTATTTTTCACATTTATGGCTGTTGCAGCATCCCCATAATCATGACATCGAAATTTGGATGCTGGGCAGCTGACTCATATTTATGACGGTTGCAGTGTCCTGGCATCCTGGGATTTCTTTTGCAACCTTCTGACAAGCAAAGTCAATGGAGAAGCCAGATTCACTTAACAATCATTAACTTAACTGCAGTGATTCACTTAACAAGGGTAGCAAGAAAGGTAATAAAATACGGCAAAACAATAACAAATGTCCTGCTTAGCAACAGAAATTTTGGGCTCAATTGTGGCCATAAACAAGGACTACCTGTAGATTGATCCAAGTTGTTTCTTTGTACCTTGAGTCCTATTTCATTCTACCTTCACTGTGTGTCTGTGTGTTCACATGCACATACATGCACACACAAACATCACACCTAGAAGATAACTGGTTAAACCCAAAGATTCTGACAGATTTTCTTTTTCTTTACCCTACTGTCTTCAAGCCTCAGTTCACTCCTTAACATTAACTTTATTTGAGTCAGAAGCACCTTCAAAGTATAAACATATAGCATTCAGCACTGAATAAATATAATAGGTATAAAATAAGTCATAAAAATATAGCAAATGTAAAAAGTATGTAAAATAAGTTAAAACTAAACAACTTGTATGTTATTCTGAAATCTACAGTCTGTTTCTGAAAAGGACTGTATCCTACATCCCAGCCAATCTGTTCACTACAGAATGCTAAAAATAGGTTTCACCAATCTTATCCAAGTAAATACACACACACATTTTCTCTATTAATTTTCTCTATTAGTGGGGACAGCAACCAGATCCCCTCCCGCCGTGAGCAGTAGTACGGATTGTAAATATGTGGGCAAATGCTTAAAGCAGCTGCATCTTTCCAAGGACTACGGAAGAAGAAAAGCATTGTGTTTAAGGTATTTCTGATAAATGCTACATGTATATGTACCAGAAGCACCTACTTTCCTTTCAATATGAAGCATTGCACAGCCTTAATATTTTTTCTTACAACTTTACTGTGAAATACAAGAAAATTTCAAATGGAAAATGAAATTATCTGATCTCCCCATTAACACTGATGATGAAGGGCAAGTAAGAGCCTTTTTGGGAAGCACTCTTGGATGCTTTGCTTTAGCCCAAAACATAAGTGAAATACAAGATGTCCCGAGGAAAAGAAAAAAAAGAAAATAAGACCAAGAATAAATCCTCTAAAGAAGATACAAATAAGATGGATGGATGAAATAATATACTGTACTATTGGACTTCACATTTATTTCCAAACGTTTCATATCTGCCAGAGAGGATCTGCCAATTGCTTTGATTGGTCAGCAAAGAAGGGAGTGTATTCCACTGACAGAAAGCAGATAAATGCATAAGAACTTCTGATGGATGACAAACCAAGGTACTAATATTTAGAGTTCAAGTTCCGATCTAAATATGATATTTTGGGACAGCCACATTTTTATCCCCCATAGGGAAAAAAGTAGGGAGGACATAGCTTTTGGAGTGCTCAGAGGTAGAGATATAAATGCAATAAATAAATAAATTGCAAGCATAGATCAAGAAGCCAATAGGATATAAAATTGCAGGTGATTAACTAGTTATAGGTTAATTAGTATAAACTCATTTAGTACCATAAAGAGGAATGATTCAAAATTGCCAGAAAATATGAACTTACATTTTCATTAAACCTCCAATAAAGAAAGAAGCAGCATAACAAAGCAGACAAACAATCCTAATTAAAAAGCATACAGAATACCACAACATACCATTATTCACATGAATGGGGAAATGTCCTATGAAAGAAAAAAACAATTAGACTATCAGATAATTTTTTTAAAGGGAAAAGGAAAACCAACTATTACTTTTCAAGTCAGTCACACAAGATGTATGCTCAAGTACTTATTAATATATTCTGCAATACTGATAACTTACTTCTGTCTCAAAGTTAAAATTATTTAATTTTCCAGGCAAATACAGTATGGCAGAAGATCAAACTATAAGAGTTTATTTTTTTCTTCAGTTTCATATTCCCATGTTTATTTGTTTGTTTCATCTAAATCTCTGTTAGAAAGAAAAGTTTTTATTACCTAATAAGATCTGGCCAAAACATATTTGATATAAAAAGCTTTGTCACTAAAAACTAAAAAAGTACCCTTATTATTGTACTTTTCTAGTTAATTCTATAGCTTCTAAGAAATAGATAATCACTAAACCCAAATTACTACATGGCTTGATACCTGAGGAAAAGAAACAGCAACACAGACAATTATAGCTTTCTGAATTTACTATTAGTTACATTACCTTCTTCCACGTCCTGAATAACCTGGGAGCCATTGCTAGATGACATCAGCATCCTAAACAGAATAGGATGGGCCTTGCTTAATGAAAACCATCTGTATCAAAAGGAAAATACAGAATTGTTAATAATGCCAGCATAGCATTAGATTCCTTAATCCTAGATTTAAGGTCAAAACAATGAATGGAACTATCTTCCTCTATTTTAATGTCCTCCAGAAATGTTGGGATTACAGCCCCAATAGTCTTATCCAGAGTCACCTTTGGAATACCTTAAACTGGCAATGTGCAAAATAAGTTGCCATAAAACAGATATGAATTGTGTCTGCTTGCTACTTTGAGTTATTTATAAAAATAATAAAGGTCAATAGAAAACAAGCATCGTATACAATGGCATAACAGTTTCAAAAGAGCGATCATCATCACACTTATACAAATCCCATAACCTATTTAATCTACATCTGCATATAATCATATGTGCAAAGAATTTGCTTTCCAATGATTGAGGGGGGGAATATTTCAAAAGCTATCCAGACAAAAATAATTATCAAACATATAAAAATCCACTTTTTTCATTTGCACATGGAGAAAGAAATGAGACGAGACAACATACTGCACAGGACTATAAATCCCTAGCTTCATATGACACATGCTTGGAATTCATAAGAATCTTTGCATTAAGAGAAAGTTTCCAGAGTACTCCTAGGAATTTGTCCACTACTCTTTTCAGAATTATAAATAAGCCTGTTCTGAGATTTCGTCTCACATTAAATTTCATTTCAGTATTTGAGATTGTTAGCCCAGAGCAATTGAGATAGCTGAATAGGGTATAAGCTTTGACTATTTATTTCCACTTAGCCATTTTGTAGCTATTTCCCATTATTGGATTAAATCTTAGCCTATCTTCCTTGAGTTGGCCAAAAATATTGCCATTCCAAATTTGTCCAACTTATTTCCTCCATTTTGGGCCTGGCTTTATGCCAAACGCTTTTATCCTCATTAGTCAGAGTGCTTCTATAATCCTCCATTAGCTTCTCTTTCACTCTGATGTTGTTGTCATCCATCTTTTCTATCAGCCCTGTAGCTTGAGAAAAATAAGTAAAAATCAGGATTCTATAACAAGGAAAACTAGAGCTGGTTTATTTACTCTAATCCCATGTCAGTCTTTAAATAAACCCACTTCTGCCTTCTATTCCTCTCTCCTCTTCCTAAGGTTACTTTTAAAGATTACAGTATGAGATATTTTTTACAGAGTCTTTAGTTGAAAGTTGAAACTTGCTAAATTGCAACAAAGAAAACTATTAAAATTTACAAAGATGCTTGGGCATTTTTAAACATTTCTCTAAGCCTGTCCCTACATTAATCACTTTGTAAAATCATCATTTTTTAGAATGTATTATATTGGGCAGTTATGCTTTTATGATCCCTGATGAGTCAATAAGATATTATATTATGTTGATATATATTCTAAATATCTTAATAGTTAGATAAAAATTAAACAGAATGAAAGTATAATCCTAACTGAGAAGCCAATAATCAGAAGAAAAATAACAGTAGTGGGGGTTGAACAATGACCAAAAGCATTGTGGCATGATTAATTTTCTAAATACATCTGACATTTATATCAACACCAGAGGCTGGTCACTCCGATACCGTTAAAAAAGGATGCAAGCTAGCAAATATTAATATACTCTGTTGTCTACAATAGGACTCTTCTGAAGTTTCAGGACGGTAGGGTAGGATAGGGTAGGGTAGAAGAGAAGAGAAGAGAAGAATAATGAAAGCAAACTGGTTCCATATTGAGTTGAGATCTGATCAGAGGTATTTCTGTGTGGTCAAAGTGGGGCACTGGAATTTAGGATGTGAAATTAAATTACAAAGGACCTGTATCTTGTCTGAAATACATCGTTCCTACTTTCTGTTACCCAGGGGCTTGTACCTCTTTGACCATGTCCCTATGTACAACGAAAGGAAAATTTGCAACTCATCTCCAAATATGGAGAAATGTTTCTAAATATCTCAGAACGTACTAACCTTAAGAAACAAACCGTGCTATTCCCAAATAAACCAACTGCACTGCAGTTTAGCATAAACTCTGATTCATACAATACACTAAGACTTTATGTGACTATTTGGTATTGTCTTAACCACGGTGGATTGTAAGTGGGTTTACAGAATTATATCGGATTTCACAAAAATTGTAAAACCTCCTACAACTGAAGGAAGCAAGATTGGGGGAGACGACATTGCATAGTACGATCTTCATGTGCGGAAGGAGCTGCAATAAATCTAATTTTCTAGAATACAGCGAATCCGATAAGGTAGGCGAAAAGTAAGCGCAGATCCAAAACAGCAACGTTCAATATTCCTCCGGTGGCCTTTCTCCAACCAGAGTTTTTCTCACACTGCGCAAATCGAAAGGCTCTAGGCCCACTGAACGGACGGGCGGGGGAGGGGGGGGCTTTGCCGTTAGGAAACGCTTGGTTTTGTGATCCGAGTGTACAAAGAAAATCGCCGCCTTAAATCGCCTATAGCACTCGACTAACCTAACGGAAGCGTGTTCTGCTCCCGACTCGTTACTCTCTTTTTTTTGTTCTGGCCTCACCTAGCTTGTTGTAATGGCAGAATCGCGGAATAGTGCTGAAGTTGCTATAAATCACTTACCTGCGGGATAGCATTTTGCTCCAAAGATCGCTAAAAGGCCTGGTTTTGGCGAAACCCCTGCTTTGGCCTCTCTGCTGGAGCCGCAGTGTAAGTCACGGGTGGCGTCTGTCAACGACCACGCCTGGAAACAGGAACTTGGCTGTGCCGGCTAGATTGGCTCAGACTTTCCCATTCTTCAGCAAGGCTTCCTGCTCTTCCCTCCTAAGACAAGAGCAGGTAACCGCGCTCGGTTCTTACTTGAATTTAGAACTCCAGCTCTTGATTTCATTGGCCAATTGCCTAATAATCGTTGATCAAGTGAGGAATCACTACCTTTGGGGGACGGAGGAGCTGTCGTTTCTGATTACTGGGTTCGGTTTACTTTTTGCCCACCACTAGTCTTAAAATCTCCCCCCTCACTCTCTAACCACCAAGTAGGTAAAGTGAAGCTAGAAGTAAGTTAGGGGGAGGAAGAAAAAAACAGTTCCATGAGACTTAAGAACAATGTAAGCAATCTAATACAAAAGATAGAAAAGAAAGAGATTGGAAGAGCAGGAGAGGTTTTTTGTTTCATTCCCAAACTTGTGGGAGCTACTGGAAGATCAGAGAAATCTCAGAAAGATGCATCAAGAGGTATCTACAACACTGACAAAAAGGACACCAAAAGGAGAGTCCTACACTCACCCTATGTCCAGCAGTGAGCAAACCAAGAAGAATTTCAAGTGCTGGGACATGGCCAAGCAGTGGCCAAAGAGAAGAACTTCTACCAAAGCCTTGGGGAGAACTAGAGAGGCTAGGGGTTAAAATTGGTTCTCCATCAATAGGGACCATGAGTGAAAGTTGTCATAGCAGGAGTAATGAGAAAGTCCAAAAAGGAACTGAGAGGAGCTAACAGCAACAATGGCTTTAACTGATCCTCAAGTGAGCCCAACACTTGAAATCAGGTGACAGCAAACAAGTGATCTACATCTGAAGGACTTTTGCTGCCAAGGGAATCAATAGTTGTATTAAAGTATTTAATAGGTGCTACCATCACAGCTACATGGTAATTTATGTAAAATTGGTATCAACCTCCTGGACAGTTCTGTCAGAAGCAGTACAGTCAATAACACAAATTAAAGTTAGATAAATTAATTAAAATTAAGGCTGTAACCCTGACTGGATTGATAGTTTTCTATCTAGGCTGTTGGTTTGAGCTCCAAGTATAAAAAATTGGTTGCAAATGTTTCATCACCATTCAAGAAGACATCATCGGTGCATTTTGAACTGTGCTGATCTTTCAGAACACAGCTCTTTAAATACCTTTTTATAACATACAAATTAGTCTGAATGTTGTTTGTTCAGATATTTCTGAGACATGGTCTGATTTAAAACTGATTGGCTGTCTGTTGTTGCTGGGCTGTAGTTAAGTACCATCTGTGTGATGCAGATAAGGATTAGAGTTGTTTTATGGGTGCTTCTGAGTCATGGTCTGGTTTCACCTTGTTTGGTGAAGCTAGGCAGAATCGCATCCTATACCTGTACAATCAGCACAGCCCCCCACCCAAAGCTGTGTGCTTTCTCTACTTCTCTTCTCCCTATATATCAATGACTGCATCTCAAATGATCCATTTGTTAAAATACTGAAGTTTGCTGATGACACAACAGTGATTGGTCTCATTCGAGACAATTATGAATCTGCATACAGACAGGAGGTTATACAACTTGCCTCATGGTATAACCAGAACAAAACTGGTTATATGGAACTGAACACACTCAAAACTGTAGAAATGGTGGTAGACTTTAGAAGAAACCCTCCCATACTACCACCTCTTACAATACTAGACAACACTGTATCAAGAGTAGAGACCTTCAAATTTCTAGGTTCTATCATATCACAAGACCAAAAATGGACACCTAACATCAAAAACGTCATCAAAAAAGCACAAGAAAGAATGTTCTTTCTGCACCAACTCAGAAAGCTCAAACTGCCAAGGATCTGCTGATTCGGTTCTACAGAGGAATCATTGAGTCTGTCATCTGCACCTCTATGACTGTCTGGTTTGGTTCTGCAACCCAACAGGACAGACACAGACTTCAGAGAGTAATTAGGACTGTAGAAAAAACAGTTACTACCAACCTGCCTTCAATTGAGGACCTGTATACTGCACGAGTCAAAAAGAGGGCTGTGAAAATATTTACAGACCCCTCACATCCCGGACATAAACTGTTTCAATTCCTTTCCTCAAAACAACGCTATAGAGCACTGCACACCAGAACAACTAGACACAAGAACAGCTTTTTCCCGAAAGCCATCATTCTGCTAAACAAATAATTCCCCTAAATCTTGTCATCAGTCCTTATCACCCATCCCCTCCCACTTGTGACTGTGTGACTGTAACTTTGTCACTTGTATACTTACAATTTATATTGACTGTTTCCTAGTATGATTGATTGCTTATTGTACCCTATGACTATCATTAGGTGTCGTACCTTATGATTCTTGACTCCTGACAAATGTATCTTTTCTTTTATGTATACTGAGGGTATTTACACCAAGACAAATTCCTGTATGTCCAATCACACTTGGCCAATAAAGTATTCTATTCTATTCTATTCTATTCTATTCTATTCTATTCTATTCTATTCTATTCTATTCTATTCTATTCTATTCGATAGTTTGAGTGGCTGGCTGTTATTATTGAGATGTGGTCCAAATTCTTGTGAGCCGATGGGTGCCTATAGATGGATGTATCCTAGGGGTCTGCAACCTTAAACACTCAAAGAGCCATTTGGACCTGTTTCCCACAGAAAACACCTGAGTGGGTGTGGCCAACTCGTCACTCACTCCCAAGTCACATAATCCCCCCAGCCATGCCTACCCGGGTTTTGTGGCTCCCTGTGTTTTCTTTTCTGTGGGAAACATCTCTCTCCCCCCACATCTGTCTCCCTCTCTCTCATCTCTCTGTCTCCCTCTCTCTGTGTCTCTCTGTCTCTTTCTGTCTCTTTCTCCCTCTCTCTCATCTCTCTGTCTCTGTCTGTCTCTCATCTCTCTCTATTTCTTTCTCCCTCTCTCCGTCTCATCTCTGTCTCTCTTTCTCCCTGTCTTTCTTTCTTTCTTTCTTTCTTTCTTTCTTTCTTTCTTTCTTTCTTTCTTTCTTTCTTTCTTTCTTTCTTTCTTTCTTTCTTTCTTTGTCTCTCTCCTCTCCCTCTGTATCTCTTTTTCTCTATCTCTCATCTCTCTGTCTGTATCTCTCATCTCTGTCTTTCATCTCTTTCTCCATCTCTGTCTGTCTCTCTGATCTCTCTTTATCTCTCTCTCTCTCTCTCTCTCTCTCTCTCGTGTGTGTATTCCCTCTTGAACCATTTCCAAAAACAGGCAAGGGTTGGGGTTTTTTTGCCCCCCAGCTCTGGCTCCCTGTCAGATGAACCCACTACTGGCTGGCCCCACCCCTCGCCCTCCCCTCCGAGTCACTCCTCGCCTGGCCTCAAGAAGGTAAGGGCAATGGCAGAGGATGGAGACACACTCCATGTTCGAAAATGGGAGCAAAGCGCCACTTGCCTTATCTCGCAGGTGCTTCTCCCAGTCCTTGTTGAAGTTGCATGGGCCCCAGTCTCTTGGAGAGACACGCAACTTGCTCTCCACCCTGAGACACTGGCCCAGCCCGGATACAGCTGATGCTCCGCATCTTAATGGGCTGCAGGAGGAGGAGGGGACGCCATCTACCCCATTGTGAAGCATGCTAAATTTAACTGTGCTGTGCAAGGTGCTGCAAGAGTAGCAGGCAGGCTATGGAGGTGATGAGAGCAGCGGCATCAGCCACAGCTGGGCCGGGCCAGTGTCTTGGGGCAGAGAGCAAATTGCACATCTCCCCAAGCAACTGAGATGCATGCAGCACCAATAAGGGCCAGAAGAAGCACCTACAAGATGAGGCAAGTAGGTAAGGGGTGCTATATTCCCGCTCTGGAATATGGAGCAAGTCTCCATCCCCTGCTATCACCCTTACCTTCTCAGACCAGGCGAGGAGTTACTGGAAGGGGTGGGTGAGGGAAGGGGCCAGCCAGTGGTGGGTTCAGCTGACAGGGAGCCACAGCAGAGGGATGAAACAGTCGCATGCAGCTCTGGAGCCGTGGGTTGCTGACACCCGATGTATCCTGTAGGAGTTGCTTGACCTTTTATATGTGGTCAGACTTGTCTAGTAAGATTATCATTCGACTTTTGTCATCTGGTAAGACAACAATATTGTTATCAAGTTTTTTTCCAAAAGTTTTTTATTTGCAATAGATCTTTCCTTTAAACAGTGTGTCAACTGGTACATATATCTTGTGCTAACAATTATAGTTTAGTACTTTTCTTACAACAACAACAACAACAACAACAACAATAATAATAACAACAACATTCCTTAATAAATCATTATCTCTTATATCTATTATCTTTATAAACAATCTTAACTTTTTTCTTTATATATTCATCTACTCCATTTTAACTTGTTTTATTTTCCAACCATTGATAAAATAAACCCCATACCATGTAATATTCAGTTTCTTCTTTTTCTTTAATTGTCAGTATTAGTCTATTCATCTCTGTACATTCAAATATTTTCTCAATCACTTTTTCCTCTGCCGGAATTTTA